TGCGCGCCGTCCTCCGCTTTGGGCTCATCAACGCGACGTACAGCACTAGCAGCCGGATTGCGAGGGCCGCGAAAAACGCAACGTTTTTTGACGTCCCGATGACCAACTCGTCGACGCTGACCAACTTTTGCGACCAAGTGGCGCCAAGTGTCTTGACGGCCGAGCCGACGTTGAGCGCGCTCTGCGACGGCTGCCAACGGATGCACGAGACGTCGGCATTTAGCGACTGGATCGACGACAACTGCGTACACAATGCACGGGTCGATGGTTTGTCAACCTTTTGCATTTTTTACCGGAGCCCGAAGGTCTACCCCGAGCTGAGCCCCGCGTGCCGCTATGCCACGATGGAGTCGAGATACGACGCATCGTTCGCGGACATATGCTACCACACGACGTTTCCCGCCAAGATCCAACGCGATGCAAAGGCACTCGCAGCGTCGGCGGTCGCGCTGGGTGTGATGAGCCTCGTCCTTGCATTTGTGCTCTGCTGTCTCCAGAGCTCCCGAGACGCGTACGACGATGAAGACTGGATGATGTTTAGAGCTATGAATGACGCAGAACGTGCCGCTAGTACGAATCGTCGAGATGTTGAGCAATAAAGATAGATAAGTTTACTGCGTACTAGTTGCAGAGGGCGTCTTGTAGCACTATTGATCGGGCCTGCTTCCCTCCACCAACCTGACACCCCACACTGCCAGATTCCTTGCGAGCTGCAGCGTCAACCACCAAACCAAGTACTTCCCGTACTGCGTGAAGGTCGACGTCGACGCGTTGCAGCAAAGACCCAAGTTCAGCCACGTCGCTCTAGCACCTCGGAGGCGGGGCTGATTGATTGTCAAACGCATCCAGTCATCACCCCGACGGCTCTTGCTCGGTCCATGGTACTTTAACCTGTCGAAATCCACGTAAAAACGCGTTTTTGTCACCACGAGTCACACATTGCCACGTCACGCCAGCGTGTACTCCCACTCTCTTGCGCCTCCACCAATCGCAGCAAGTTGACGTGGTGAAGCACCTCGCAATGGCAAGAAGCATCCGAGTGACTCTGCAGCATACCGCACTCGCAGACGACCACATGAATGGCCACTTCAATTCCCATGTGTACCTAATAAACACCAACAGTCCCTTGTTTCTGTCCCGTGAATCCGCTCCTCGCACTGTGGCGTGGCCAACTTCAACAGGATTGTCGCCAGCCCAAAAACAGCCAATCTTGCGATCTTTCTCGTACATTCACTGTACAATGCATACAACTGACATACAAACACCAAGTCAAATGACGTACATTCATCGCCGTACGTACAACACGCCTGGTTTACCGTGCCTCCTGGCCGGCCCATCTGCTTCCAGCTGACTAGCTTTTTGTATGCGTGTTGCATTCCAGCTGGGCGCGGAATTTCTCTTGGTGTTTGTATGTCGTGGCCGTTTTATCTCGTTTTTTGTATGTCACCCGACGGGGAACCTTCTCTGCGCCAATGTATGGCGGTCGAGTGACGGCGAGTACACTCGGTGTTTGTATGGTCGACAGGCGTTTCAAAACAACTTGCGTTTTGTATGTCTGGACCCAGCGTCGGCCCAAGTATACAAATCGCAAGAGAGCAACATATGCGCAATCATTGCGATCTTAGCGCTCTGAGTTCGAAATTCGTGCCAGTTGGCAATTTGCAGCATGAAGATCATCGACAAGATCCGTGCCAAGCTCGAGAAGGACGAGACGTTTTACTCGTTCGAGTACTTCCCGCCCAAGACGCAGGCCGGCGTGACGAACCTCTACTCGCGCATCGACTGCATGGCGCAGATGGACCCGCTCTTCTGCGATATGACGTGGGGCGCCGGCGGCTCCACGGACAAGCTCACGCTTGAAATCAGCGCCAACGTGCAAAAGTTCTACGGGCCTCGAGATGCTCATGCACCTCACGTGCACCAACATGAGCCGCGGCAGCATCAAGAACGCGCTGGACGCGGCGAAAGACG